ACACTTTCCTCTTCCTTCTTTTAGTATTCTCTGTCTTTGAGCTTTGCCATTTTTACTATAATGTGTCTCAGAGAGGATCTTTTTGGATTGAATCTGTTTGGGGATCTTTGAGCCTCCTGAATCTGAAGGTCCGTGTCTCTCCCTATACCTGGGAAATTTTCCACTATTCTTTTGTTGAATAGGTTTTCAATGCCTTTCCTTTTTCCTCCCCATCTGGAAGACCCATGATTCGAATGTTTGTGTGTTTAAGATTGTACGCCAGCTTTGTTAGATTTTCTTCATCTTTTTGTATTCTTTTTTCTTTTCATCCTCCTGGGTTATTTCAAAAAGACTGTCTTTAAGATCAGAAACTTTCTTCTGCTTGCTGTAGCCTGTTGCTTAAGCTCTTGGTTATGTTTTTTATTTTGTTGAATGAATCCTTCAGTTCCATGAGTTCTGCTACATTCTTTTTATTTCCTCCTTCATATCCTGGATTTTTTTTCATTATGTTTTCTTTTTATTTATTTATGTATTTATTTTTATTGAATCAAAATCAATTATACATATTTTGGGGGTTGAACATTGAGATATGTTGATTAAATCAATATTACTAGCATATATATTGTTACAAATCATAATTATTCTTTATGCCCCTTGTCCAATCTCTCCCCCCCTCCTCCCCCCTCTAATTGCCCTAGATTTCTTCTCTCCTTTTGAAAGAATAATGGCTACTCTTAATTTGTTGCCTAGATGATCACACTGAGAGATGTGATCAGGTCCCCCAATATTATCACAGAGCAGATGCTTCTTCTGTCACTCTGAAATGGGTTTTGTGGAAAGAGACATCCTCTTCTTTTCTTTGTCTCTGCTGGTGACTCTTCTTGTGTGAATGCACTCCAGTGGTTGGTGGACTATCTGCATGGTGGCTGTGGTGTTTAGCCACTTTTGCAGCAGCCATGGTTATTGTGGTGGCTGTGGTGGGCCACCCACGTGGAGGTGCTGTTTTTGGCATGCTCCTTGGCACTAGTGGTATGCCTGGTTGTGGGGTGTGTTTGGTCCCCTTCTCCATGCCTCTGGTCCCTGGGCAGACCCCAAGGTGCTAGCACCATGTGCCTGGTGTGGGAAGGGTGGATGGTCCCTTTCTCCATGCCTTGTGTCACCAGGTGAGACCCAAGGAGCTGGCTTGGTGTGCCTGGTTGTGGGAGAGAGGTCTGATCCCCTTCACCATGCCCAGGTCCTTGGTTGGGCCCCAAGGTGCTAGCGTGGTGTGCCTGGTTGAGGGAGGGCGGTCTGGTCCCCTTCTCCATGCCCCAGGTCTCTGGGTGGGCCCCAAGGCACTGACGCCATGTGCCTTGGTTGTGGGAGGAGGGTCCAGTCCCCTTCTCTATACCTCGGGTACCCAGGTGGGCCCCAAGGTGCTGGCGTTTTGTGCCTGGTGTGGGAGGAGGGTCTGGTCCCCGACTCCATACCTCAGGGTACTGGGCGGGACCTGAGGCACTGGCTTAGTGTGCCTTGTTGTGGGAAGAGGGTCCAGTTCCTGGCTCCATGCCTCAGGTCACTGGGTGGGACCCAAGGTACTAGCTTGGAGTGACTGGTTGTGGGAGGGGGATCTGGTCCCCTTCTTCATGCCTTGGGTTCCCAGGTGGGCCCAGAGGCGCTGGTGTGGTATGCCTGGTTGTGGGAAAGAGATCCAGACCCCTTCTTCATGCCTCAGGTCACCGGGCAAGGCCTGAGGCACTGGTGTGGTGTGCCTGGTTGTGGGAGAGAGGTCTGGTCCCCTTCTCCATGCCTCGGGTCCCCACACAGGCCCTGAGGTGCTGGCACGGTGTGCCTGGTTATGGGAGAGACATCTGGTCCCCTTCTCCATGCCTCAGGTTCCCGGGCAGGCCCTGAAGTACTGGCATCGTGTGCCTGGTTGTGGGAGAGAGGTCCATTCCCCTTCTCCTTGCCTCAGGTACCTGGGCAGGCCCCAAGATGCTGGCGTGGTGTGACTGGTTGTGGGAGAAGGGTCCAGTCCCCAGATCCATGCTTCGGGTCACTGGGCAGGACCCAAGGTGCTGGCTTGGTGTGCCTGGTTGTGGGAGGGGAGTCCAGTCCCATTCTCCATGCCTCAGGTCCCTGGGCTTGCCCAAAGGCACTGGTGCAGTTTGCCTGGAAGTGGGAGTGGGGTCCAGTCCTTGGATCCAAGCCTCCAGTTCTGAGGCAGGCCCCAAGGTGCTGCTGATGTGCCTGGGCTGGAATTAATTTTTTGTCCTTTACTTCTAACACAAGGGAACTTCCTGTGGGAACCAGTACTTGAGCTGTGTGGTTGTTTAAATTGCTGCTTTGCTGCTGTTTCCCTAGGGAAGACTTTTTGTGCAGCTCAGGGTTTAATGGTTGACCTTATAGGTACTTCTGGCTCTCCAGAGACCCAGTGGATCTGTGTTCTGTAAAATCTCTCATCTGGGCCTGAGTTTTTCATCAAACTGTACCCCTATGCAATTCTGCATTCCTGACCATTCTCCTCTGAGTGGTCCTGCACTGATTGGGGGGCAGGTTGGCTGTCCTTGCTGTGTCCCAGTGTTCTCCTGGTGTTCCCATCTTGCCCACCGCCCGTGCTCCAAACACTTTCCATGGGATGGGCCCTGTGCTGTTCCCTTGCAATGACTCACCAGCCTCTGAATGGCTCCCTTTTTTCAGTTGTTCTGGCTCCTTGCTCCTGTGTGGGTTCATGGGAAACCTGTTAATGGTCTTGCTGTCCTGGGGGCAGCCAAGGCCCTGTTCTCTACTGCTGCCTCCAAGTAACTCCATCTGAAGGGCACAGCTGAGGCTTCTGCTGGCTCCTGCTCCATGTGCTCAGCAGCTCCAGCCTTAAAGCAGCTGCGGCCTGAAATGCTCAGAGCAGCTTTTTCTTTCTCTCATCATAGTTTCTCCCACCTTCATGAACTCCATAGGTCTCTCCTCTTCTTCCCCTGAGCTCCAGTGGCCCCAGCTTGGCTGATTTTACATTTTTATAATTGTAAATTTGGTTGATTTGTGGGAGAGAGTGATGCTGGGGACCACCTATTCCACCATCTTGACCGGAACTCCTTTCATTATGTTTTCTAACTGAGTCTTGTCATATCTCATTGAGTTTCATTAAGTTTGTTGCTCAGAATTCATTTTCAGTCATTTCATGTGTTTCTTGTTCTATAGGGTCTGGTACTTAAAA